CCGGGGCCGTGCACCGGGCCCAGAGTGGTGGCCGAGTCCCGTGAGTGGCGCCGGCGGCCGGGGCGGGACCCGGGCGAGCCCTCTAGCCTGCGTCGCGTCCGAGTCCTCACGGCCCGCCCCACTCCCTCCTGCCAGTTAACGGCGCGGTGCGCGAGGAGAGCGTCCACTGCAGGTCGGCGGAGGAGATCGCGGCGCTGGTGCAGAAGCTGGCGGACCAGTCGGGCTTGGACGGGATCCGCATCCGCAAGCCCTTCCACACCGACAGCCCTAGCATCCAGGGCCAGTGGCATCCCTTCACCAACAAACCGACCACCGTCGGCGGGCTGCGCCCCCGGGAAGCCCGGGATCCTGCCCCAGCCCGGGTGCCAGCACAGTGAAGAGTCGCACCGACTCCCACCCCTGGTTTTGACCTGTTCCGGAGTAGAGGTGGTGCTTCCTCCAAGGCCCAGCCCTGGCCAGCAGATGGAGTCCCCGGTGGGGAAGCTGATGCCAAAGGTTCTGCTTGTAACAAAGAACTGCCTTTGTTTCTCTGTGCCCACTCCATGGGGCAGTGACTTTGTGAGTCCCCCAATTATCTAGTTGGCATCCATGAAATTGGAGAGAGCTTTCGAAGGTTTTACAGCACCCTTGTTTTCTGAAATTTAGTTTGATAACAGTGAACTCAAAACAAGTGAGGATTCTGAAAGCCAGCTTTGGTGGTAGAGTTAGGGACAGCTGCTCTCTGCTGTGAGTGTCCCATCGGCTAGGCACTGTGTATTTGTGTGCATGTTTGTGTACAGCTTAGAAACCGGAGGGCAATAAACTTACCCAAGGTCACACTTGACGTCTTACTTCAAAATGTGTGTAAATCTTAAGCATAAACCCTGTTTTTCATTATTCCAAAACCACAGGCAGAACACACGACAACCTTGCAGGGTGGACAGTGTTAAAGGTCATGGGATCAGTCTGCAGCCATGCCGTGTCCACAGGCCTGACCTCTGGGAGGAGTAACTCCGATCAGGTCCCTGGTAATAAGCTTTCCCCGATCCCAGCCAGCCACCCTCACCCCAAGCTCTATGCAGAAATTTGTGTCAAAAAAAAAAAAAAAAGGAAAAATTTGTGTCTTCCCTTGGAGAGGGAAGGGAAGGCTGCAATCCGTGGGACAAGCAGAAGGGCTCATAAACAAGTTTCTTCTAGGCCTAATAATAAAGGAGAGGGGTGATGAGGCAAAGAAAGGAGGAAAAACCTAGTAAACGCTTGTGTGAATTCTCGAACTGTAGTAATTCCTTGTTATGCCCTTATCACCATGATCAGTTAATAGTGGGATCTTAAAAGGCCTTGACCTGGACAGCCACGGTGCAGGCCAAGGGTCCTACTTGCCTCTGCAGACCCAATCCTGGATGCAGCACTCCTCGCTCCATAAAGGGAGGAGCCTGTCACCTGTGCCCTGGTGATCAGAGCAGTGTGGTCTAGACCAAGCAGACTACTCAGGGCTGTGGGGAAGAGGGTCTTTATTAACCAAGTGGGGCAGGAGGGGGTGGAGCTGGGCTGAGCCCAGTCTCCCCACCATCACATGCCTGTTCCACCCACCTGGGTGGTGAGTGGGGGCATTCCTAAAGTGTAGCCGTTTTCACAATAAATACATTCATTGTGGGGTGGAGGTGGGGCGGGAGGGGGGAAGGGCAGTAAAAACCCGTGGGATTCCACGATCTCAGCTACAAAAATAACAGTCTTCCTCACCCAAGGGGAATGGGGGAGCTCTGTCAGGATTGATTGTCCCACATGGGCCTGGAGACTTCAGAGGCCCCTGGACCCTGAAAGTGTCCTGGTGAGGTAGGACAGGGGTGGAAGCCAAGCATTCAAACTCCCAGCCTCTGGCCTTTGCATAGTTCCAAGAACGGGCTTCATGTGCCAGGTGAGACATCAGCTCTCCTCCCTTCCCCTGCTCTGGTGGAGGGGCAAATGCTTGGTCCCCACAGGGAGGCTGGCTCATTGAGTGCAGTGTTGGTCACCCGTCCCAGGCGAGGGTCCTAGGAAGGGTCCGCTAGGACAGCTAGACGGGAGGGGGAATCTCCCTCTTAATGTCCATGGACCAACCTGACAGGTTCGAGGTGGCAAAGGGAGGCTCAGAGGTGCACGTGAGTGGACGTGTAAGCACGTGTGTAGAGGTGTGTGGTACCACATGTGCATGGCAGAGGGACATGCCTGGAGCTCTACCACTCGAGTGGCCAAGGGGAGTGGGGAAGCTGACTCACGAGGGCTGCTCGGGAGAGGAGAGGGGAATGATGTGGTCTTACCTCCTAAGGCTGGCCTGCTCCCAAAGAGGCCACCACATGGGGCTGGGACTGGGGAGAGCATGGACAGGGAGGTGGCAGTTGGGAGGGGACTCCAGGTGCAGAAGGGCCAGATGAGAATGTGCTGGGGCGGGGGTGGGAGGTGCTGCAGCCCAGTCCTAACATTCCTCCATGGGCACATGTGGCTGGCGGGGGTCTTGTCTGGCTTCAGGACCGCCCAGCACACGGCCATGCAGAGACTGGTGACACTGAGGCCATCTGGACCTGCGAGCCCTGCCTGGGAGAAAGAGGAGGGTTTGGGTAGATGAGGGAGACAGGACGATGGAGCCTGTTCTTCCCTAGCAGTTAGGTAGAGGGTCCGGGGTGGGTCAGGGTCTGCCCAGCACCTGGCAGAGGGAGAACCTACCTCTGAGGAGCACCGGCAGGCCTGGGCTGATCACGTGGGTCTGTGGAGACTGAGGGGCTTTGGCTGTGCCTGACTGGCCAGCCCTACAGGGACGTAAAAAAGTTGGGGAAGGGCATGGGGTGGGGTAGGGAGGTGGCTAGCTGTGCTGGGGAGGCAGTGGCCCAGCCTGGGGCAGCCAGGCTGGTGTGGAAGGTCTGCCCCGGGCTGGCTCAGACGGAGCTCTCGTCCAGCTGCTCTACGAGCTGCGTGTGCTTCCTCTTCTCCAGGATGCGGCTGAGCTCCTCGGCGAAGGAGCAGGGCCCCGCGGGGACACCGTTGTTGCTCTGTCTCAGGAGCACGTAGCTTCTCCCTCTCCAGGTGTGCTCTGGAGGCAGCTGCCCTCCAGGCCCCCAGTTCCCTCCCCGTCGTCACCCTCCTCTTCTTCCCCAGGGCACTGGCCTGAGACCGTCTGCAGCTGCACGGCAGAGCCCCCTGCCCGGCCAGCCCGGCCCAGGGAGTATTTCCGCCGGACGC